GACACCCAAGGGAATTTTAGGTGAGACTCCATTTAACTTTTTGGTTTTAAAACCGTGTCTGTCATTGGAGATGAGAGTCTCATCCAAAAGCTTCCATCTGTTCTCCATCCATGTTCCTTATTTTCAGAGACAAAGGATAAGAGCAGTTTCCATGTTAGAATTTTTTAAACATATACTTTATAATAAAGTTATTCCCTTTGGTTCATTTTTCATCCCTATTTTTCTCTAATCTGACTCAAGCTCCATTTAACCAAATAACTCACAAGATAATGTTTTACTCTTTCTTGACAATTTCTCCCTCGACTTCCATTCTTCCTGCAGGTTTCAAACTAATGATTATCTGTTGGAATAACAAAAACTTCCCTAAGTACGTCCTCTGCAGCCCACATACTCTTTTTCATACTTTAACAGGCAGGTGCAGCCTCAGGGTAGGTAATTTTTTTCTTTCTGCATCAATGCTTATTAGAGTAAGCTTGCAGCTCACAGTGGTTTGGGTAACATGGAGATATTTTGCACTTCAGCAGACACAGAGGGAATGTTGTTGGCAAAGGAAGTCCTAGGGTGGTCCTCGCAACTCATTTTTTGTCAAGAAGCGGGACTCCGAAGTTGAGAGGTATGTCTCTTATTCTGTAGAGAGACACTCACAGGTGAAATGAAGACCACCACCAACGTCACAAACGACCATCTGCAACAGCACAGACAAGGACTAGGAGCCAATCAGTGGGATTAGTGATTGGACTAGCTAGCCACGTGGTCTTTGCTTTACGCATCAATCCCGGTTCTCCAGGAAACGGAGATTACAGGGAGTGAGTCAGTGGTAGCTCGGTGGTAAAATTCTCGCCTTCCGTGCGGGAGACCGGGGTTCCATTTCCAGCCAATGCATCTCATGCGCAAGCAGCACCTGTCTGTCGGTGGAGAATTGAGTGTCGCTATGGTGCTGAAGAGATTGTAGTGGAGCTTCCGAACTAAGAAGAACTAAGAAAGAAGGCCTGGTGATCTACTTCCAAAAACCAGCCAATGAAAACCCTCTGGATCACAAGTATTTTCACAGCTGATCCTGGGGACAGTGCAGGAGCAGGCAGCATTTTTCATTCCCTCGTGCATGGGGATGCCATGAGGCGGGAACAGACTTGACAGTAGCTGATGACAACAACAGCTATCCACACACACACACACACACACACACACGCACACACACGCACACGCACACACACGCACACGCACACATGCACACACATACACACACACAGAGACACACACACATATATACACACACATACACAGACACACACACACGCACACACACATACACACACACATACACACACATACACACACATACACACACACATGCACACACACGCACACACACACACATGCACACACATACACACACACAGAGAGACACACACACATATATACACACACATACACAGACACAGACACATACACACACGCACACACACATACACACACACATACACACACATACACACACATATGCACACACGCACACACACACATGCACACACACACATGCACACACGCACACATATACACACACACAGAGACACACACACACATATATACACACACATACACACACACGCACACACACACACATACACACACACACACACATATATGCATAAAGAGAGAGAGAGCTTTTAAAGAATTGGCTCACGCGATTGTGGAGGCTGGTGCTGCAGTTTTGGTCTGCCATCCGCAGGACAGGCTGACCAGCTAGAAGCTGGGCAGAAGTTGTCATCGCAGTGTTCAATGTTTTCTCTGGGAAACCTCAGTGTTTGCCATTAAAGCCTTCAACTGATTGGACAAGGCCCACCCATATTATCTAGGATAACGTCCTTCACTTAAAATCAGCTGATAGTAGATGTTAACCACATCTACAAAACACCTTAACAGCGACAACTAGATTAGTGTTTGATTAAATAGCCTAGCCAAGTTGACACATGAAACTAGCCATCAACCTTGTATCCCAGTAAGCCCAGGGCAAAATCAGATTCCTGAGACAGAGAATCCTGCTATCTCCCCAGTGAAATCTTCACACACTATGCTTTACCATCTCTTCTGGTTCAGGGCTCCCTTGGAATCTATTCCAAGCAGAGTACGTTAGGGAAGTGTTGCTTTTTTTTTTTTTTTTTTAATTGTAATTTCTAATAGCCACCATGTTGATTTTTACAAAGGCCTTTCTAGATGGAAAATTTAAAATAAAAACTGATCTCTGGGGCTAAATTGTAAGGTAGCTTCGAAAGTGTTCCATGACAGTGCGAAAATAAGTCCATTGATTAATCTTGCCAATTTAGTTCATATTCTAACAGGAGACTTGTGTTATCTAGAAAGGAGACTGTATAAACAAAGCATCCTCATTTTGCCTTTCCTGGCTGAATTTGGCCAAGACAGCATTTCAAACTTTGTCATTCCTTTTGGAACAGATGGTTTTCTCAGAGGAATTTTTATTTCTGATAAGGTTTTCTATGCCCTCTAGTGGTTGTTTTTTTTTTTTTTGTGCCGTTCAAGTCAAAACCAAACCAAACCAAATCTGTTGCCATCGAGTTGATTTCGACTCGTAGTAGAACTGCCCCATAGGGTTTCCAAGGAGTG